GCTTTCGGATTCACTGAATACTTTATTCAGATAGATGGGTAAAATTTCATTTCATTTCATTATTTTGTCAGCATCTCTCTCAATTTGATTTAATAAAATCGTATATTCATAATTTTCGAATGAAGTTTTATTTCAAGGTTCTTAAAGAATGTCACATTGTTTGGAAACTTGGTCGCGATGGGGACATTTTATTGGTTTTTTCCTAATTATAATTCTTATCGGTAAGCCATAGAATAATCGAACAACTCTATGATATCACATTTTTAAAACTTATCACATTCCAGAATTTTTTTTTATCATTTCACTTGTCAAATATTTGTTACTATTTGTTAATTCGTAGTGTTTATCCATACGACCCTTTTCTATTGAATTTGAGCAAATTGAAATGATATGTGAACTTATTAAATGATAGTGCTGTCTGGCATGATGATTCACTAGTTATGGCACTTTATTTTCGTGACAGAGGGTAACCTAATAATGGACCAAATATGTTTGGTCCACTTTGTTTCTAAGATATATTTCAATTTGAAAAATACGCAGAATGTTCTAATCACCGAAATCGTTTGATAAGTGAAGAAGAGTGATTACAAATTCTTCTGAGGAATTTCTTTGCATAACATAGAGTCTCCATCAGGCAAAGAAGAGGAACAGAACACACACACATACATGTTTCACACAAAGTAGTAGTAGATTACAAAAGAAAAGCAAACTAAGAGAACAAAAGCCACATCAATTGGTCGGGAAGATAATTCAATCAGCTTCTGGACTTGAAAGGGGTGGCTCTGATGACTACCACATGGTAGAGAGCAGCCAGTGCAGCACCGATGAATGGTCCAACCCAAAAGACCCACTGAAAAAAAGAAGAAACAACGATTTAACAATCGATTGTGATTTTAAATTGAGAAGTGAAAGAAAGAGAAACTCACATGGTCGTCCCAAGCGTTGTCCTTGTTGAAGATGATTGCAGCTCCAAGACTTCTTGCTGGGTTAATACCAGTTCCAGTAATGGGGATGGTAGCTAAGTGAACCAAGAACACAGCGAATCCYATAGGGAGCGGCGCAAGAATCTGTCGAATTTTCAAAAACCGATATAAACATTTCGATCCGAATACAAACATAAACCCATCTTTATCAATTCTGTTTTGTTAACTTACCGGAACATGAGAGTCACGGGCGTTTCTCTTAGCGTCAGTGGCTGAGAAGACCGTGTAAACTAGAACAAAGGTTCCAATAATCTCAGCACCAAGACCACTTCCTTTAGTGTAACCATGAGCTACAGTGTTGGCTCCACCACCTAAAGCTTGGTATTGCTTTGGTTGGAATCCCTTAACCACACCAGCTCCACAGATAGCTCCTAAACACTGCATCACTATGTAGTACACAGCTCGTGTAAGCGAAAGCTTCCTCGCTAAGAACAGACCAAAGGTAACCGCTGGGTTGATGTGTCCACCTGAAAGAGATTACAAACATACACAAATCTGATTACAACTTCTAAAAAATCGAATGATTCCACACAGAACAAGCTCAAATCCAATTGTAAACCCTAATTTCGTTCCCAGATCTAAGCCTAAACTTGCTATTTCTCGCTACCAAGCCAAACTATACGATCTAGATAACGAAGAATTTGAATCGGAGACTGAAAATCGGTAGATCGGAGAAACGAGAGAGTGGATTTGAGACTTACCGGAGATACCGGCGGTGCAGTAGACGAGAGCGAAGATCATACCACCAAAAGCCCAAGCGATTCCTTGGATTCCGACGGAAGCACACATGTTCGGTGCTCTCTTCACACCCATAACAGTCAATACAGTGATGTATAAGAAGAGAAACGTCGCGATGAACTCAGCGATTCCGGCTCTCCAGAAAGACCATGAAGCTAGCTCGCCGGGCTCGAACAACGGAGCAGGCGGTGGTTCCTTGTAGTCTTTGTCGCTCTGAGCCGATGTTCCGATCGGTTGTCTCTCCGGAAACTTGTTAGCTCCGACTCTAACATCTTCTTCTTTGCCTTCCATCTCTCTCTCTAGAGTTTTCTAGGTTTTTGGTTTTCTCTGTTATTGCAGAGAGAAGAAGAGAGTGGTGGTTTTTATAGTGACGAAACTCAGTGTTGGAAGATAATGGAAACAAATGGATGA